ATGAGCTGTGGCGCGTGAATGGCCCCTACCGCCACCTCAAATAAATACATGTACTTTCTTTTTAAAGTTTATGCAAAGGATGACAGACTAAAACTCAGTTTGGGGCATCTGTCACATAGACAGAATGGCTGTATGCTAGATCCTGGTTTCCCTAGGTGGCTACTGGGTTACACACGCCCAATGCCAACTGCACAGCTGCACTTTTTCTGAGCAGAGGTCATGGACACAGGAGAAGGACAGCCAGCTTTGCCTAGGTGGTCAGTTGATTCTAAACACTAGCTGCAGTTCATACCATGGCTCTCCAAAGACAGAGTTTGATAGAGAGCACTATTTTTCCCAAAGAATGTTGGCAAGGGGCATTCACTTCCATTAGGCAACTCAGAGCAATCTCTGGGTTCACAGAGGCAGGGAGATCAGCCATTAGCAATTTCATCCTGTATAATATATGTGTGTGTGTGTGTGTGTGTGTGTGTGTGTGTGTGTATACATATATGTGTGTATATATATGTGTGCTTGTATACAGTGTGTGTATACATATATGTGTGTATATATTTGTGCTTGTATACATGTATGTGTATATATGTGTGCATACATATATGTATGTGTGTATGTGTATACACATGTATGTGTATATCTATGTATGTATATGTGTATATATATCTTATATATTGTCCTGCTTCCTGAGTGTTGGGATAAAACGCAAGTGCTGCCATGCCTGCCCATTTTTTATGTCTTTATTTTTAGACATGGTTTCACTGTGTAGCCCTGGCTGTCCTGGAATTCATTATGTGTTGACCTCAAACTTACAGAGATCCACTTGCCTTTGCCTCCAAAGTGCTGGGAGTAAAGATCTGCAACTGTGTGTCTGACTTGTCTGTAAGAGAGGGCCTTCTTATATATGAGACACTGGCGTCAAACTGTGGAGCCTACACTGGACTCTCATGACTCCCCTGCCTCAACCTTGCCTAGTCTTTTTATTTTATTTTATTTTATTTTATTTTATTTTATTTTATTTTATTTTATTTTATTTTATTTTATTTTGGTTTTGGTTTTTCGAGACAGGGTTTCTCTATATAGCCCTGGCTGTCCTGGAACTCACTCTGTAGACCAGGCTGACCTCGAACTCAGAAATCCGCCTGCCTCTGCCTCCCAAGTGCTGGGATTAAAGGCGTGCGCCACCACCGCCCAGCTTGCCTAGTCTTTAATACACCAACTTTTCATAAAACATTTATGTGTGCCCATGTATAAGTTCATACACATATATCACAGTGTGCAATTGGAGGTGAGGGGACTATTTTTAGGAGTCAGTTCTCTCTTTCCATTATGTGGGATGAGCTAGAACCTAGGTCATCCGGCTTGATGATAAGTGCTTTTGCCCACCGAGTCATTCTACTGGCCCTTAATAAACCAACCTTATCTGTACAAATTTTGTTTTTATTTTCAGTGTGTTTGCTTGCATGTATGTATATGTATCACATGTGGGGCTGGTACCTGAGGAGACCAGAAGAGGGCATAAGATCCCCTGGAATGCCAGTTACAGGTGATTGTGAGCCTCCACCACGTGGGTGCTAAGAACCCAAGTCAGGTCTTTTGCTAGAGCAGCCAGTGTTCTTTACTACAGAACCATCTCTCCAGTCCCTTACTGTCTTGAGAGAGTCTCGGTATGTAGCTCAGGTTGGCCTTAAATTCAGTATGTAACCAGGGTGTCCTTGAACTCCTCCTGATCCTCCTGCCTCTAACTTCCAAGAACTGGGATCAGAGGTGTGGACCACCATGTCCAATTTTATATTGTCATGGGGACAAAACCCAGGGCCTCCTGCATGCCAAGCAAACATACTATCAACCAAGCTACATACCTCCAGCCCCAGCATATGAATATGACACTTGAGAAGTCTTGGTTTACAACATTAGCTATCAAGACAATGCCTAAGTCACACTTACCTCAGTCTTGCTAGTTTCCTATTGACCCAAACACTACAAAATCCAACCTCTATCAAAGAGGCAAGCCACCTACCTGAAGCATTTCCAAAATGGTTGTTTTGCTGTACCTTGGTGGTATACGCCTTTAATCCCAGCACTTGGGAGGCAGAGACAGGCGGATTTCTGAGTTCGAGGCCAGCCTGGTCTACCGAGTGAGTTCCAGGACAGCCAGGGCTACACAGAGAAACCCTGTCTCGAGAAACAAAAAACAAACAAAAAACAAAAAAACAAACAAAAAAAGAAAACTACTAACACTTGGTTACTTTTAATTGTCCAAATCCTGAGGGGCCCAATTGAGTTCCCCCCACCCCCCAAATACACTGTGTTCATCTCAGCCTGGAATCTGGGGCTTCCAACTCTTCAGCACTAAATCTCTGCCTTGGGTTTTCCTATGCCACATGGGGCATAAGGCTCAAAAAACTATACTACAACTATACTGTTATATATATACACACACACACATACATTCTCTCTCTCTCTCTCTCTCTCTCTCTCTCTCTCTCTCTCTCTCTCTCTCTCT